TATCTGGACCATTATTAATTTCCCAGTATGCCCTGTAGGGCCACCATTGGACCAGTAACTGGAGACATCAGTCATGAAGTAAGGGTGCTGCTGCAGCTGGGATCAAACACCTCATCTGAATGTGTGAACCCTTTATACAGCTGGCTCCTGGACCTCAGGGGCTCTGATGAGGTTCATCCTGGTCCAGAACTTCAGTTCATCTCCCAGTGAGACAGGAGGACAATCATACATTGGACCTGTCACACAGTCAGTCAGACAGCAGGACATGGTCACAAACACTGCACAGGAGGGGTCCAGTAAGACCTCATTCAGAAAAAAACTACATTCTTATTCCTCTGTGAGTCCAGGAGAATCATGGCACCTGTCCTCCGTTTTYCCATCATCCAGAGTTCTGACAGGCTGCTTGTACAGCTGCTACACACAAACACAACACGCATGGAGGAGTGTGTGTCACACTCTACAGTACGAGATCCTCCTCCAGGCCTTAAAGTGTGAGGCGGGCCTGCAGATCAGGAATGGACTTTAAAGGCCAGCAGCTGCTCAGAGTGCATGTTGTTGAGCGAGCGCAGGTCGGGCAGCTTGAGCAGCAGTTTGGTGAAGACGGCCGACTCGTTCGGGTGGTTCCTGGTGATGAGGCTCCGCAGGGCGCGGATCAGAGTCTCCTGAAGGGCCTCCACCGAGTTCACGTTCTCGATTCCAGAGCGGTCTGTGACAGAGAGGCAGCTGTTAGTCTGATGGACCGGACTGTGCCGGGTCGACCTGAGAACATCATGTTGATGTGCACAACCTCAACACACCTTACGAAGATTACACCTGAAACTCAGGATTAAGTAGGACAGAATTCAGCTGAAACTCAGGRTTAAGTTGGACTGAGTTCCCCTGAAACTCAGGATTGAGTTGAACTGAGTTCACCTGAAACTCAGGGTTAAGTTGGACTGAGTTCACCTGAAACTCATGATTTAGTTGGACTGAGTTCCCCTGAAACTCAGGATTAAGTTGGACTGAATTCAACTGAAACTCAGGATTAAGTTGGACTGAATTCAACTGAAACTCAGGATTGAGTTGGATTGAGTTCCCCTGAAACACAGGATTAAGTTTGACTGAATTCAACTGAAACTCAGGATTAAGTTGGACTGAGTTCCCCTGAAACTCAGGATTAAGTTGGACTGTGTTTCCCTGAAACTCAGGATTAAGTTGGACTGTGTTTCCCTGAAACTCAGGATTAAGTTGGACAGAGTTCCCCTGAAACTCAGGATTAGGTTGGACTGAATTAAACTGAAACTCATGATTAAGTTGGACTGAATTCAACTGGAACTCAGGAAATGAGTTGGAATGAGCTCCCCTGAAACTCAGGATTGAGTTGGACGGAGTTCACCTGAAACTCATGATTGAGTTGGAATGAGCTCCCCTGAAACTTGGGATTAAGTTGGACTAAATTCAACTTAAACTCACAATCAAGTTGGAAAGAGCTCCCCTGAAACTGGGAATGGGTTCCCTTGAAACTTAGGATAAGTTTTCACAGAGTTCCCCTGAAACTCAAGATTAAGTTGGACTGAGTTCACCTGAAACTCAGGATTGAGTTCAACTGAGTTCACCTGAAAGTCTGGATTAAGTTGGACTGAGTTCCCCTGAAACTCAGGATTTAGTTGGACTGAGTTCCCCTGAAAATCAGGATTAAGTTGTACTGAGTTAACCTGAAACTCAAGATTTGGTTGGATTAAGTTCCCCTGAAACTCAGAATTAAGTTGGACTGTGTTCCCGTGAAACCCAGGATTGAGATGGACTGAGTTCACCTGAAACTCATGATTTAGTTGGACTGTGTTCCCCTGAAACTCAGGATTAAGTTGGACTGAGTTCACCTGAAACTCGGGATAAAGTTGGACTGTGTTCATCTGGAACATAGGATTTAGTTGGACTGTATTTTCCTGTTGAGTCACTAACTGGTCTCCGGCAGTCTCAGAACACAGATGCAGAAACCGCTACCAGGGTCTGCAAGCAATGAAACTGAATTCTGACTGATTAAAAACAAAAAAAGAAGTGAATAAACTTTCATCAAATAAAGACAAGATTAAAACTTTGTGATGAAATTGCAACAAAAATTTGCATGTCATCTGTAGGAATGTCAGTTTCTTTGTTTACAGAAAGAACCAATTCAGTGACTTCCCAGATTTGGATTCTCCAACGGAGACAGTAGTGAGACATGCTTCAAGAAGACAGATTATGAAATGATTTCAGCTAAATAATGAAATGTCAGAACATTTTTCATTCAGAGTTAGTAAATTTGACAGAAATTTCCACAGATGTTGATGTTTGTGTTTTAGAAGCTTTCAAGACTTGTTCCCTGGATGTATTTGTTGAACCCGGTTGGTTGGTTGGTTGGTTGGTTGGTTGGTTGGTTGGTTGGTTGGTTGGTTTAATTCTGACTACTTGTCTTAGTTCATCCCTCATTTAGGGTAAAAGTGCATCAGTTAGCGTTGTGGATTGTTGTTGAGTGTCATTTGTCTCCAGTCAGGACAACCTTCTGTTTAGCTTCAAATACCCCAACAGTGCTCTGTGCTGCTAAAAACTGATCTTTCATTTCAAGTGAAGGTGGTGTGTATGTTTGTGTTTGTGAGTCCTGATGATGAATATAATGATGATGATGATTTATCACTGATACGTTATAAAGTAGCTCAAACTTGGCAGACTGAAGACAAAGATGGCATTTTGACAGTCTAGTAAAGTCAGATTTTAACCACCCACCAGCAGAAACCAGGACTACAGCGGTGAAGAGGCTCATCTCCTCTTCACTCAGGCCCAGATTCATCAGCTTCTCACTGAAGTCCAACATAGAACTGAGGAGGTCCCCGGAGCCCATGGCCCTCAGAGCATCCACGCTGTACTTGTTCCCGCCCAGGAAAGTGACGGTGCGCTCCTTCGTGTCGAACAATGAAGCAAAGCGAACCACCAGCACCTGTGGGACATCGGAGCACCCAGACGTTACACCTTGGACTCCAGTCCAACGGTCAGACCAGACGTCTGAAGGACAGAGGACTTACCTCGAAGGTGCCAGCCTTCAGCAGGCTGACCTGGTCATGCTGTGACAGGTCTCTGAAACCCGGGATCTTCTTGGCAAATTCCACCACCTCCCTGACAGCAGGGGTGAAACTGTGGGAGAACTCCTCCCACACCTCGTGTCCAGATTTATGAAGGTCCACGTGAGGAGACGTGTTCATTGGACAAACCTGCAAAGAGACATCCCATCAGCTGTGAAACCCCAACCCTTAGATCTGAGATCTACTGTTTGGTAGCAGGGTCTTACCAGATACATCCTGTTCCCTCCTCTCCAAACAGGTTTTTCATAGGCTGGGTTGGCACCTGTGGGCGGGGCTTTGACAGCACCATGGATGTGTGTTTGACTGTGGCTGGTGGCGGTGCTCTGGGACAGTCTGAATGGACACTGACTGTTGCCCTTGTTCTCTTGAGCATGGCTCAGGTTGGAAGGCAGGGTTTGGCCTGCTATGGTCACAGAGTTGTTCTGGTGGTTCCTGGCATCCCGCTCCTCCAGGTCGGTGCTGGTTTTTGTAAACTTGTCACTCGGTAAGGTCTCAGCCAGAGACCTGCTCTGCTCCTGGTTGTACATGAAGGTCTCCTGGTGGGCCCTGGTCACAGAGCCAATCACCTCTTCCTCGCTGCTGTCCGACACGCTGGGAGAGGCAGAGCTGGTGTCCATGGACACGGCGGGCTCGGGGTCTGCATTGGAGTGTGTTGAAGATGAAGGGGTGGGGCTGGTGTCCCCTGAGGTAGGTCCAGCAGGACTGGTTGGCGGCCCCRTGGCGATGGACAGCACCTGGTCTCCATGCAGCTGATCCTGCAGCTGGTTGTTGTTCATCATGTTGTTCATGGCACTCTGCATCTCCAGCAGCATGCGCTGTTTCTCCCTCTTAGGGATCCGACCAAAACGCACAGCTGAAGAAAAAGAAGGTTTGATCTCATTACAGACTTTATCCTGAATGTTACAAAGATAAATGTGTCTAAATTCAGGGGCTGCGTCCTTCGAATGTCAAATTTGTCGGCCGCTTATGTCACTGCGTCTATTTTTTCTTCTGTTTAGCGTTGTCACAATTGATAGGTGATAGAACATAGGCCAGGTTAAGGGCGGGAATAGAGCAGAAGACTAGGCCGTCCAAATTCACGGTTTTCACGTTCAACCAAGGACTTTACCCACCTAGACCAAAGGCCAGGTCCTTCGAAGGACCTATCTCCTGAATTTGGACACAGACTATATTTCCTCCAGAYGTAGGTAACCCTCATTTGCAGGAAAACTTTGCATGACAACAACAAGACTTCAAAGAAGAAGTGTCCAGGTCCTGATCTGACCGGCCTGCAGCCCAGAACTCATGAAACCAAACACCCTAACCCTAACCTCCAAACCTGGTCTCCTCAGATCCTGTAAAACCTTGTCTGCTTTCAGGAAGTGAAAGAGCTTGATGGGGTACCTAATGACCACTAAGGTGTTTGAGAACCAGCTGAGGACAACAAAGGTTCTGATGGATMAGACTCTAAAAGACTTTGAGTCTAACAGGTTTATTAAATGACACCAATTCAACCAGTAGTGATTAAAAACAAAATAATTAAAATGTTTGCTTTAGAAAATTAAAGATCTTTTGTTTTCTGCTTTGCATCAATCAAATTGAACAAATCTGTGTTTTGGTACAGATTAAAGTTCAAGTTTTAATCTATAGGTGTGCCCACCCCACACCTGGGTTCTGATCAGACCCTGTGTTTCTGAAGTGAAGMCCTTTATGTTTCAGGTACTCACAGTCTCTGGACATTCCCACCATCAGGCATTTCTTAAAGCGGCACTGTTGGCACCGGTTCCTGTTGCTCCTCATGATGGGGCAGCTCTCGTTCTTCAGGCACTTTTTATACTGGATGTTCTGCTGGATGCTCCTCCTGAAGAAGCCCTGAGGGTTCACACAGACCACCAGACCAGTGAGACACAATGATACTCTCCTAACGAGAACAAGAAGCCGTCTTCTGTCTGATTTCTCTTCAGACCTCAGAACTGAGCTTCAACCTTCCAGCTTATAGCTTCTCTCACTGAACATCTCAGACCAGAACTCAGAGTTCTGAATGGACTGAGTTCCACTGCTGCACCTTTGTGTGGTGATGATAACCTGGTCTGTGGGACCACCCAGCGCAGAAACAATCAACAGATTCATTTCAGACAAGAAGAAATATCACCTCACTGTTTCTTCTTGATCTCTGGGTGGACCTATAACAAATCAGTACATTATCACCTCAGTGGGCTGTAGAGCCCTGAGCCTGAACTATTGACTGGAGTGTGAACATTACCATGTAAAGCTTCAGTTTGGTGTGGAATGATATTCCCTACGTTGTGAGACAGTTTTTTTTTTGCATATACACCTACTTGTGGGAACCTAATGTTACTTATGGGGACCTGACTAGTACTTATGGGGACCTGAGTCTAGTCCCCATGAGGGGAAACACCATTGGTAGGTCGGAGTTAAGTTTAGGACCAAGGTGTGAATTGAGTTTAGGTTAATTTTAGGGTTGAAGGTCAGGGTTAGGCTGTGGAAATTAATGAAAGTCATTGGCAGGTCCCCGTAAAGATAGCTGTACCAGATTGTAGGGGTGTGTGTGTAGTTGTTTTGACTACAGAGTGAGGACCATTTGCACCACAGTTACTATCAAAGYGAGGACCGCTTCAGTGTCCTCACTTTATTTGCAGCTCTGCTGTGCTTTACTAGTTAGGTTTAGAGGTATGTGTTAATTAAGTTTTGGTTCAGGTTAGGTTTAACTATAGACCAGTAATGGTTAGTTTTAGGGAAAATGTCTGGGTTAGTCATAAATACATTTAAATAACGAATGGAAGTCAATATGTCCTCAGTTTGATGGAAATACAAGGATGTGTATGTGTRTGTATTTGCTACATAATGGGTGGGAACCATTTCCCTGACAGACCCAGACATAACTCTTCTAAATAATCTAAACATTTCTTTTGATTAGATTAGCCTCATTGTAAAATCATGTAGGTGTATATAGGATGTTGGGGGTGTGGTCTACACCCCCAACCATTCCTGACTCCTCCCCTAACGATTACCCTCCTGTGTCTAAACCTGCCTTCTCTGAACTCTCCTCCCTCTCTATGGGCGTATTCACACCTGCATTGTTTAATCTGATTTAATCGAACTCTAGTTYGTTTGCCTGGAAAGTCCGGTTCGTTTGTGGAGATGTGAACAYGTAATCGAACTCTGATTCGGACCAAAAAAGCGAACTCTGGTACGCCTGAAAACCTAGGTCTTGGTTCGATTGAAAYGAACTCTGGTGTGGTTCGATTGCATGTGTGAACGCTAAGTGGACCAGAGACCGCTCCAAAAGCAGGAAGTGGACTATACCGCATGACATTCTGAGTAATAACAGTATTAAATTTACTTATACGGGGTAAATACCTCGCTGGACGACTGTATAAAGACATCATGACTGTGGAGCTGGACGYGCTCCTGCTCGATTAACACGGAGCTGCTTCAGCCGCCTTGTGTACAAAACTACATTCTCCGTGGTTCTGCCTCATCTTCCTCTCATGCTGAGCTCACTGTTGAAGACTTTGTTTAGCACATTTGCCAAGAACAAAAGATAAACCCTTTAACCACTAAAATGTAACGTTACAATTGTTTGTTTACATTTTGTGAAGAATGAAGCTGCGCTCCATGTCTTCTTCTGAGGTTTTCATGTTGATTCCTTTAGTGGTTCTTTGTGCAGCGCCCCCACAGGTGACGGTGGGAACGGGTTATTTACAGGGTTCTCACTCACAGAATGTCAGTCATTTTCCACTACATCTGTACAGATCAACAGGCTGTCTCCAACTGGAACAGCTGACTCCACCATGCACTTCCCATAAAGACAGRACCCAGAGGCCCAAGACTGGACCTGATCTGGAGCAAGAGTGCACTTCCTAAGGGATCTACCAACTCTGCTGAGCCATCGGACAGCAGGTGGGACCCTCTGAGTAAATACTCCCCTAACCTGACCACAGACCGTAGACTGTAGAAATGAACAGAAGTCAATGCAAAGTCCCCGCAAGGATAGARAAACCAACACATGAATGTGTGTGTGCTGCCCTCACCTTGCAGCCCTCACACGCGTGGACTCCGTAGTGGAAACCAGAGGCCACATCACCACAGACCTTGCACAGCAGCACCAGACCATTGATTTCTGATTGGTACAAAAACACATTTCATGAAGTGAAACATCCAGAACCAGAACCAGAACTGTAGCACAGCTAGAAACCTCTATCAGACCAGAGTGGAGTGGCTACATTATGGGATGTTGATTTGCATGGTTTTATTGTTTGGGTGTTTGTAATGTTCAGCACTTTGTTCCCTTTGAGGAGTTTTAAAGAACTGGTCTCTTCATGTTCTGGATGTTTCCACACTGATGGTGAAGAAGAGATGTTTCCAAAGGAAACGCCTGGAACAACTTTTTTTTTTATTAATTGACTGTATTTAACCAGGCAAATTTTATATTTGTAAATATTTTTGGTCTGTGGGGGAAAGAGGAGTACCTGGAGAAAAGGATCTGAAAGATCTGCTTGTGAAAATCAGAAAACACAAACTGCAGCTACAGATCGGTGCAGGCTAGTTCCTGAAACAACGTGTAAGAGCCTTACTTGTGATGCCACATTTTCCTGTGGCGGAGGAGCATCCAGTTTTTGGAGTTCCTGGCAGGCTGTGGCCACTGGCGGGGAGCGTGTGCTTGGGCTGGCTGCAGCTGGGGGAGGAGCCTCTCAGAGGCGAGGACGACTGGTAGCTGCTGTTGGAGGAGTCGCTGTGGTAGGACTCCGGGCTGGAGGCGGAGCTCGATGAGTTGATGTAGGTGATAACACCTCCTGACGGGGGGGCAAAAGGATTGTGAGGAGTGGACTGAGCAGAACCTGGTGCTGAACATCTGACCTGTGATCCTTTTCGTATTTAAAGTACCTGTGACATGCATATTCTTCAGATTCAAAAAGTCAAAGAAAACATCTTTACATTTAGGAAAAATGGAACAATACACATGATTTTACCCATTTTGTCTCTTAACTGGCATATTTTCCTTTGAATTTGGCTCAACTCAAGTGAAACAGGAAGTGACATCAAAGGGGAACTCTTCAACAAAGAAAACTCTGGTCTTTGTTTACTGAAACATAATTATTTTCACTTCATTCCTCTTTGAAAGTGACTCAAAATAATCTTAAGAAACATCAGATTCTTCTCTACAGTCTGTTATTAGCGGTTGTAACAACACTGTTCACATTCAGCCATTCCTCTTTGACATCACTTCCTGTTACTTTACAGGCAAAAGTATCAAGAACTGTTCATCTCAGTGACATGAAWTTTTTTTGCAATATTTTGTCCAGAGTTGTAAAGTAACTAAGTACAAATACTTCTTTACTGTACTTAAGTAGAATTTTTGGGTATCTGTACTTTATTTGAGTAATTACTTTTCAGTCTACTTTTGACTTCTACTACTTACATTTTTACACAGTTATCTGTACTTTCTACTTATTACATTTTTTAAAAAGGTAAGAAGTAGAAAGTCGTTAATCCTATTTCATTAAAGCTTGTTGTTAAAAAAATATTATCCTCCTGGATATAGTGAATTTAATTGTGGTTGGATGAGAAGTATAAATATTATTCTGATCCTGTATTACTTTGTACACAATCCATCACAGCTGCAAATAACACAAATTATGTCACATTCCAGC